ACCGTCACTCAGAGGACTTCCATAAATTATAGTCTCGCCTTTTGGCCTACTTCGGCACCCACCTATTGATTCTAGATACTACCAAAGTCAAACCACCCTATGCAGCTCTCTGATCTCCCTTAATTTAATATATTCACCACCCATATATATGGGTAATTTCCGGGACCTATTAATGGACTATTATTCTATATATATTCTTACTGTTTAACTATTGAGTAATTAGATTGTGTATATCTATATTCATCTGATTATAAGCTTCATTTTGACCTGTGAATTAATACTGTACGATTTACTGTTCTCAATTGAAAGGGCTAGGCGGACAAAGAAACAATAAGGACGCTAGACTACTCATACTGGTCGTACTTCATTGATTTGTCACGGTGTTAAGATTGAAAAAGTCTCATTTCGGTTGGTGGATAATTGACGTTATAAAACCCGGACATAAAAATCAATAACGAATTAGCATAAGTCCTATATTTTTTATAAAGTCATAACCGGTTCTGGTGACATTCATTTTCTGAATACTCTCTTAGTTCACCGTTTTCCCTCAATATATCAAATACTTGCAGTCGTCCACAACAACCTAAAATATACTTCTAGACAACTACCTGTGGAGAGTTGAACTTTCATAGTCTTCATATCAGCAGCAGTGATCTGCTTACCGGTTTGATTCTTAATACCTGCTTCAAATTTTCCATTGAGGACAATCTTCTGGTTCATGGATCACAAACCATCCATGAACTATTACAAGGATGATTGTGAAGCATGTTGTATGATTTTATGACATATTCCAGGTTTGCAAGGAACATTGATTGGCAGTTTCGAAACTTATACCTTAAATGTCACATGTTAGTTAAAGTTCTCAGGGTTTTTTTCACTGTTAGACCTTGTGGTTTACGCCTATGACCAAATGTGCAATGAAACACCAAACATGTATTTAAACCTCATATCCTTCAGCAGTTTACCTTCGCTGTGAATGTAATGAGTATGGGTACTCTGGAAAGGGATAGAATTATTTTTTCATACCTTTTGGAACTCTTTTAAGACACCATCAAATTAAATCCAGCTTCGGAAACGCTGTTCAGTATTATGCGTTCAAACGCCTCGCCTAAGTCTTGAGAAAAACAACGATTCACACAAACTCAGAGTATCTTTGACTGTTAAGTTATTCCCAATACTCTGTTTTGTGGACCCTAGCAAGTTTTAAACAAGGGCAGTGAGGATCAGTAGGGAAATCGGTATACAAGGTCAAGTTAAGAAGCAATGAAAGAACCAAATTGTACACTATAAAACAGGGAAAGTTAAATTAATGCTTTTCGCATTGATTTCGCGAATATACTGCAGCAAAACACAACTCAAATATGAGAAAACCCGATATTCGTACAATCCAACGGACACCCAACAGACCCTCAACAACTGGGAATGACCGCCTCTTGTCAAACCGTTCAAGGTCGTTAAAACGAAACGGCGGGTGGTTTTGAAAGGCTCTGACTTTTTTACTGTGCCTCGTTCCGCTGAAACATGCTAAGGTGGATGTTTCTAATGATCACTTATCTTTATTCAAGACTTCCAGAGGCGGTATAATGTTACATGACAGTCCAGAGTTGAATGAAACCCAGAATCATTGTGAGACAAAAGTTTCTAATCAACCAACTTATCAGATTTCTCATGTTATTGTATCAGATATGGTTTGTCGTAATAATTCGCATAATTCTGATGAAATTTCTTACAACTCTAGAATGTGGAATAAGTCGAATCATGATCGAAAACCATATTCAGTTTTGGTAGATGCTGATTTTTCTAATTATCCATAATTTTCTAATGAAACTCTTAATAAATTTGAGGGAAATAATTCACAAAAATAAAATTCTGATGTCATTTGTCTTCACAATGGATTTCAGTGACACCCTCAATGTGTGTGAAAAACATGTCCCGGATGCGTCGAATTCTAGTCATATTTCTGATGTTATTGTATCAGATGTTGGATATTTTCACGAACAATGTTTGACGAGTAGAATCCCTAGTCAGTGGTATGATTAATCAGAGGGGATAGCAGGCATTCCCAAATTAATCAGAGAACCAATTTGCCCAGATATGGAGTTTGCACAGACAGGGAATACAAATCAAGTCCAAGATTATCCTAATGAGTATGAGGCAAATGCGTGTTTTTTTATTCGTGGGAGAGGATGGTGTTGGAAAGTCTATGATGCAAATTCTAAATATTAGTGGTTTCATTACACAACCGACATGATGATTGTATAAAATTCTAGAACCCAAGTGAGTCTGTTCCAATTTCGGTTTTTAATTCTAATACAAACGAGTGAATTCTAGATAATACAAAGTCTACGTCCAATACACTATCGAACAGATGTACTTACTTTTTTACTCCTGTTACTCCCAATGGAGCTTAGGCCGCCGACCAGCATCCACCAACAGAGTGGGTTGGATGAACTTAAGAAGGAGACGTACAATCGATTACAGACACTTACACTCCAATTTGAGCTGTGAATAATGTGGTGTTTGAATGAACCAATGATTCTTTTGTATTGATGACTGTTTGATTTTAAATTCCAAGCGCAATACATTTGTCCGTGCTCATCTAATACTTCTTGATTAAATTGCGTTGTTTCTGGGAGTACTAGTTTATAACATAATTCAAATACTCTTAAACATCACATTTATCCAACCTAATTTTTTTCTGCTGTCTACATCGTAAACGTTATTCTGCGTTTTTATGTGAAGTGTAATTCTTTTTCCCCCATCGATTGAAACATTATCCTGTTTCCGCCATCTTTATTTTCATAATATTTTGACTTAATTGACAAACTGTCACACTCAACTTATTCTAGTTAGTTTCACTTTAAGCAAGATACTTCGGACGACTGATTTTATAGTCGCTAATCAATCAACTTAATAATCACATTTTGATTTTCACACGTCGGCTTATGACTTATGAAATCTGAATCCAAAAAGCATCTATATGTTATATGAATTCTTCTTTTTTATTTTTCTTCAAATATTATCCTACTTTATAATTATATCATAATTATAAAATAAGTGTAATACAACTTTTATTTTGTCAACTAGTTATTCTGCTTTCTGATACCGTTTCATTGTTGAACATTACATCAGTAATGCAATCACCAAGTAATCATATTCACGACAAGCAACCGATCTCACATAAATTATAGCTCTCATAACTATCTTTAATTTATAACAAAAAAATGTGTATGGTAAAAATTTCACCACTTTTGCAGTTATAAGTGTTCAGTAGACTATCTATGAAACTGGAGTACAGTGCAATAAAATAGGTTTATTGGTTTATCGACTCTTCTATCTTAAACTCAACATTTGGAGAAACAGGAAACTTCAGCTTCAAAGTTCCATTTTAAATTGCCTGTGATAATCAAATGCAGAATTACTAAAACATTATATATGTGTGGAAAAGTTCTCTCAGTAAACAGATTACTTGTATCTTGGTTAATAAATGCTTTCGTATATTGAAGAATTGCCAGACCAAGATACGTCGAGGTAGAGCACAAGATTATAATGGAATAACAATTTACAAAAGATTATACCACCACTGTTTTAAATAACATTGGTTGTGCATAATATGAGGACACACAATTGATGAAGTACATCTGAAGAAGAGAGTGATAGTAGAATAGCCTTTCCCGACGTTCTAACTAAGAGAGCAGATGGATCATTAAAAAGAAATTTAAACGGAAAAAACACCTGGACTGTGCAATATAAACTACTACAGTACACCACTACAGTAAAAACGAAACCTGATCAAAACTTTTAGTTACCGAATGCGCATTATATGTTCTTCGGTTATAGTTGAAGATGAGCTAAACTGCTTGCGCTATACTCTTAGGGAGAACGGACACACTAGAAAGGTTATTATTAAATATATGATAACGAAGGTGAGAATAGGCGGAACACAAACGGTGAATAAGAAATCCCTGTCCATGCGCATACAATTCAGAGGGGATTCGGCTAGCGATATATTTACCCAGAGATTACGCAGAACAATCCAAAAACCTCAACGCTGGAGATCTACGACCAGTGTTTCCTGCACGTCCAATGGTGACACCAAGGTTAAATGATGAATTACCTAGAATGACAACCACATTTTGTATGTATCATTTCTACGGCACCAGTGCAACAAGTTATATTGGTCGACATTCTAGGAATTTACATTTTCGTGCTCGCGAACACCCAGCGTGACTCAGAAAAGGTCTGGTGAAGAAGGTGAACAGCTCAATATTGTCCCACTTTGTGCAAACTGGTTATAATGCCTGTATAAACTAATCATTTTTAACTATTTATCAGGTCAGTAAATTTTGCTAAAGCTAGTCAGAATTGAAAGTCCTTCAAACGGCTGAAGCAGTAGCTATTCGGACGAAGAAACCGGAGCTATGCGCACAGAAATATCTTCAACTTATTCTCCTTCCCTGGCCAACCTTAAGGCCAATTAATCAATAGTAGTCTTAGCTATTGAATAACCTAATTCGACTATTAAACTTACAACCTTTCGTAGTCATATATAACTGTCTCTGTCATCCTTATTCTGGAATCTTCGTAGAATTATTATTGTTATCACCATTGGTTCGCATATCATTAATCATCTCCCAGATACATGATTCATTTACTTCTCATTCATCCCACCTTATTACGTCTTACTATTCATATTTTACGCAATGTAGTCTTCCACCAAATATTTGATCTAATTGTAATTGCACTGTTATTTCTCTCACCTTATATGACCCATATTTATCCTGATCATGGATCTTAGATTTTCACTTAACAAGTTAACATTCCATTCGAGTCATATAAACATTCACAATTTTATTCTATATTGTTTGACAATCCTAAAATCACATGCTTTAACTTTAAACGAAGCACTTTGTCCTTAACCTGGCCATTTTTGAGATTATTAGTTTTAGTCTTTATTTGTGGAACCTGAAGAAAATTTATCGAAAAGAATATTCTTCGTTCAAATAATAGTCATTTAATATGATGAAGATCTTTAAGCACACTATTATGTAGATAATTAAACCCATGACCATCAGTCCGATATTTTTGGCTCACATTGTTGTGCTACTGTCTAATAGTAAGTAGCATAAAATATTTCACAAAACCTTAATTTCAGTGTTCGTGAACATTCGAAATAAGAAATGTTTCTGATATTAATAAACTAAATAACTAATAATACAATGAAAGAAAAAATGTTCAAACTTATGGCAATATATAGTGAAATCTTTAGTCTATCTGTACTGGAACATTCAGGTGGATTCTTATCATCATTCGGAAATAATGTCCATTTTTGTGATTGTCTACGATAGCGCGGAGCACGAGAAGTTTCACAAACATCTGTACCGACATCTGGAAGAAGATCAATATTGGTTTGATTGAAGCGATTTTTAAAAGTGTATGATGAAAAAAATATATCTGATCATAGAATGGAGTTTATTGTATGGCAGTAATATCAATAAGGAAAGTCGTCATTACGAATATTATTATTATTATCATTATTATTATTATTGTCATGATTATTATTGCTAACTACTGTAGGGTCAGTGAAATTTTACTGAGCCCTAGCTGAACAGTTTCTATGTCAGACAAGAGATCATTGAACATTGGACAGCATATTGAATATCGACGAGGCCAAGCCTGACTAATCCACACTAATCGATTGCACGCCACCGACAGTTGCATGCAGCATTGACCCCTATCAGTATTTCTTCCTTCTATCCTTAGTAATAAATTTTTTTAGCAGTAATATTATATAACTCCGCCTGTAGCTCCTCCTGGGGCTACTGCCGTTCCCAAATCCGGGTAAAGGAGGACGGTTGGGCATGGGGTTAGCGACCCCATCCCGTAGAATACCAACTCTCATGGACCAAGGATCATCAAAGCCTCCTTCAAAACAAAGAGAGAGGGCATTACAATGAACGTCATTCAATGCTATGCGCAAACCAACGACTACGATGAATACGTTAAAGACCAATTCTACGATAGGCTGCAGTCGATCTTCGAGAAGAGCCCAACCGATGACCTGACAATTCTGATGGGAGATTTCAATGCCAAGGTTGGAATGGACAACACTGGATACGAAGACGTCATGGGATGACATGGACTGGGAGAAAGGAACGGAAATGGTGAGAGATTTGCAAACCTATGTACCTTCAATAAACTGGTCATAGGTGGCACCATATTCCCACACAAAAACATACACAAAGCCACTTGGATTTCACCGGATCACATTACACAGAATCAAATCGACCATATCTGCATCAACAAAAAGTTCAGAAGGACGATGGAGGATGTGAGAACCAGAAGAGGAGCTGATATAGCATCCGATCATCATTTGCTGGTCGCCAAGATGAAGCTAAAACTTAAGAAGAACTGGACAACATCACAAAAGTTTAATACGGCCTTTCTTCGAGATGCTGACAAACTCAACAAATTCAACATAGCACTCAGCAACAGGTTCCAGGCCTTTCATGATCTACTCAATGGAGAGGGAATTACCATGGAGAGCAACTGGAAAAGTATCAAGGAGGCAATCGTTTCAACATGTCAAGAGGTTCTGGGCCAAAAGAAGCACCGTCACAAGGAATGGATCACTGTTGGTACACTGGATAAAATTGAAGAAAGGAGGAACAAGAAGGCAGCAATCAATATCAGCCGAACCAGAGCGGAAAAAGCCAAGGCACAAGCCGAATACACAGAGGCCAACAAGCAAGTGAAGAGGAGCAATGACAGCGGAAAAGGCTGCAAGGGAGGGAAACATGAGACAACTGTATGATATAACAAAGAAACTTGCTGAAAATTACCGTAAACCAGAAAGACCAGTGAAAAGCAAGGAAAGCAAAGTAATCACCGACATTAAAGAACAACGAAACAGGTGGGTAGAACACTTCAAAGAACTCTTGAATCGACCAGCTCCACTGAACCCACCCAAAATCGAAGCAGCACCCACAGACCTCCCAATCGATGTTGGCCCACCAACAATTGAAGAGATCAGCATGGCCATTAGACAAATGAAGAGCGGCAAAGCAGTGGGACCAGACAACATCCCGGAAGAGGCACTGAAAGCAAATGTAACAGCAACTGCCAAGATACTCCACATCCTCTTCAGTAAGATTTGGGATGAAGAACAAGTACCAACAGACTGGAAAAAAGGACTTCTGATCAAAATACAAAAGAAAGGCGATCTGAGCAAGTGCGACAACTACAGGGGCATCACTCTCCTCTCAATACCAGGAAACGTCTTCAACCGAGTATTGTTAAACAGAATGCAGGACTCCGTGGACGCCCAACTTCGAGTACAACAGGCTAGATTCCGTAAGGATTGATCGTGTACCGACCGAATCGCAACTCTACAGTTCACTGTGGAACAATCAATTGAATGGAATTCATCACTCTACATCAACGTCATTGACTACGAGAAGGCATTTGATAGAGTGAACAGGATGACACTATGGAGGCTTCTTCGACACTACGGCGTGCCTGAGAAGATAGTAAATATCATACGGAACTCCTATGATGGACTAAACTGCCAAATCGTCCACGGTGGACAACTCACGGATTGATTCGAAGTAAAGACCCGTGTTAGGCAAGATTGCTTACTCTCACCCTTTCTCTTTCTTCTAGTGATCGACTGGATCATGAAGGAAATCACGGGATACAGTGGACAGGCAGGATGCAGCTGGACGATCTAGACTTCTCAGATGATCTGGCTCTTCTATCACACACGCAACAACAAATGCAGGAGAAAACGACCAGTGTTGCAGCAGCCTCAGCAGCAGTAGATCTCAGTATAAACAAAGGGAAAAGCAAGACTCTTCGATGCAATACAGCATGCATCAATCCAATTACACTTGGAGGAGAAGCTCTGGAGGATGTGAGAACCTCTACATATCTGGGCAGCATCATCGATGAACACGGTGCATCTGATGCAGATGTGAAGACACGGATTGTCAAAGCAAGAGCAGCATATTTACAACTAAAGAACATCCGGAACTCAAAACAACTGTCAACTAACACCAAGATCAGAATTTTCAATACAAATGTTAAGACAGTTCTACTTATGGGGCGGAAACCTGGAGAACTACGAAGGCCATCCATCCAGAAGATACAGGTGTTTATCAACAGTTGTCTATGCAAGATACTTCGGATCCGTTGACCAGACACTATCAGCGACAAGTTACTGTGGGAGAGAACAAACCAGATTCCAGTGGAGGAAGAAATCAGGAAGAAGCTCTGGAATTGGATAGAACCCACATTCAGGATAGCGCCCAACTGTGTCACAAGACAAGCCCCCATATGGAATCATGAAGGCTAAAGGAAAAGAGAAGACCAAAGAACTCATTACGCTGAGAAATAGAGACAGACATGAGAAGAATGAACAAAAACTGGATAGGTCTAGGAAAGAAGGCCCAGGACAGAGTGGGTCGGAGAATGCTGGTCGGCGGCCTATGCTCCATTGGGAGTAACAGGCGTAAGTAAGTAAGTAAGTAAGAAAGTAAGTAATATTATATAATGTTTGTCACTAGCAAAGCCGATCCACCTAGTTACCAAGATAGGACGAGCCAGGTTGGGTATTAACCTCGAGGTGTGGCTTCAACGTAAGTTAAAATGTCACGCGCTTCCCGTTTAACCCGAGTAGATCACCAATGTTGTTGGTCTGCTCCACTATTAATACCAATAGTACTAACAATATTAATAACAACAGTATCAGTGGTGGTAGGAAAAAGTAGGAACAGGTAATATGCCTCGAGAAGAAAGATTGATGAGATGAAGTTGGAATGGGAGTATCTAAAGTAGAGGAGAATGTTAAAAGATGAGGTCAAATACGCGAACTGTGATATTTAATAATAGTGGTTATTATATATTTCATATTTACTTCCTGAAAACTGAGTAACATAAGCCTAGGGAGATGGTGAAGTTGTAATTATTAATCATGATAAAAATAAGTAACTGTGTAAGAATACGACATAATCGGGACATAATTTACTTAATAAGAGAATATCAGTAGATATAGATCAGGATTATGTGATAAATCAGATAATCTCAGAAATCCAATTACTGTCGATGAAGAGAAAAGTTCCCAACAGAGTGTTTCCGAACCCAATAAATAATTCACTGAACGCCCAACTTCTAGACTAACAAGTTGGATCTTGTATATATAGATCATACTCCGATCAAATTGTGATACATAGAATCATTGTAGAGAAGCTATTTAAATGGAACTCATAGTTATGCATCAACTTTCCCGTTTATGAGTAAGCATTCAACAGTATGGATAGAGGAACTTTAAAAAAACCTTCTTCCACGTTATGGGATACCTGGAAAGATCGTTACCATAGTACGTAACTACTGAGATGGACTAAATTTCAAAGTCGTCCAAGGAGAGCAGCTCACAGATGCGTTCCGAACCGAGATATCTGTCAGAAAAGGTTCTCTATTTTCATCATTTCTTTGTCTGTTAGCTTTTGATTGAAACTCCACAACTCAGCATTAGAATAAAAAACAGTGGACATCTTGGAAGCAGCTAACTACGTGAACTCATCAAATTACTCGGTTCTCCTACATTATACACAGGATCAAATGTAGATGAAAACGCACAATATAGCAGCGGCTTCTACAGCAGTAGGCCTCAAAAGAAAAAAAAGCAAGATCCCAAGTTACAACACAGCGTGGAACAACCAAATCACATCTGGTGGAGAATCACTGAAAGAGGTAAAAACCTCTCCATAAATAGACAGCATCACTGACAAACGAGAAGAATATGACGGGTATTTGAATTCATGGACTGTCAAAGCAAAAAGAACGATTCCTTCAGTTGAAGAAGAACTGTCAGTCAATACCAACGTTAGAAATTTTAATGTTAACCTTAAAAGAGTTCTACTGTATGGAGCTGAAACTTGGAAAACTACCACAACCATTAGTAAAAAAAGTACAGATATTTGTTCACAAAAGATATTCTAGATCTATCGGGTAGAGACCATCAGCAATCATCAACTGTACCAGAACACAAACCAGTTTTCAACTGAGCATGAAACTAGGGAAACAATCTGAAGTTGCATAGGTCACACTTTACGGAAATCACTAAATTGTATCACAAGGTAGACCTGAACTTGGAATCGTCAAGGCAAAATATAAAAAAGACAAACCAAAGAACATATTGCGCCGGGAACTGGAGGCAGACATTAAAAGAATGAGTAGCACTTGTCAACAACCAGAAAAGTGAACCCAGGACAGTTGGTTGGAGATTCTTGGTCGGAATCCCATGCCCCACGAGGGGTAAAAGTTTAACTAAGTAAGTCCCTAATAAATTTCAATAAAACTAGAACAACAATCGTAGTAAGAGTTAGAAT